TGTTTGGACAGAACTTCTCACTAATGGTTTTCGTGTGTGTGTGTGTGTGTGTGTGTGTGTGTGTATGTGTGTGTGTGTGTGTGTGTGTGTGTGTGTGTATCTCTGTGGGTATCTGTGTCTATGGTCTGGGTGTCTGTACGGATAACTGTTTTCAGAGGTTTTGGTAGGAGCTCATGATAGCAGTCACAGGACCTACCACAGCTCATGTTAAAACTCTCCCCCTACATGAAGTCAACCTGACTTATGCCCCGTCTGACCCTAAGGATAGAACGTAGGCACATACCTGTTGCATGGTATTTGATCACACTGTGAACCCTGAGATTGTGTATCCACTGGAAAAAAAAAAACTTTCCAGTTGTGGTGTGGATCAGCTCTTTGCACACACTTTTAAACCCTCTGGCTGGAATAAAACAAGCCCTTAGTGCACACCTTTCTTCACGCTTCATGAGTCTGTATTTGTGTATGTACATAAACATATACATGATAGACATATTGTCCTGATGAATCAGAAGTTTAGTGTGGTGAAAGACTCAGCCCTGGTGATAACATTTCGCCCTAGGTATAATTTAACACATATTGTAGAAGACGTTAATAAGTCCATGAAGCAATAAAAACATGTTTGCAAGATCCTGACCCCACCTTAGGCTAAAACAAGTCAGGCTGGCCTGCAGGCACTTTCTGTGCTTGCAGGAACTCTTGCTAATTTGCATTGTTCTCCTGCAACTGCAAGACTTCCTGTTTGCCAAACAGAAATACTTTAGAGAGACAACGGTGTCTTACTCTAAAACACGATTCTGTCATGCTTACTGACAGCTATGCCAATGGGAAATACCCTACTCAAAGGTTTTGCCTTTATAAACTCCCTGCTCACTCAGGGCAGGGTTGTCTCTTTAGACTTGTAGTCACAACGGACTATGGCCCTTTCTGGGTCTGTGTGGCTCTCCTCTTGGGTGAGAGCAGGCCAACTATAACTTGTTGGGGCTCTCACAGGATCTATTCTGTCCATGAGAAAGAGGCTCTAATTCAACCCTGCAAGCCTTCTGTGGTATTTTCATTAGATTTGGCCCACGTAGACTTATGTGTTCGGTTGTTTGGCCCACAGGGAGTGACATCATTAGGAGGTGTATCCTTGTCAGAATGGTGTGGCCTTATTCAAGGAAGTGTGTCACTGTGTATGTGGGAATTGAGGGCTCCTAGTGCTCAAGATCTGCCCAGTGCAGAAGAGACAGTCTCCTCCTGGCTTCCTTCAGAATAAGATCTAGAACTCTCACCTTCTTCTCCAGCACCAGGTCTGCCTGGAACCTGCCGTGTTTCCTGCCACGATGATAATGGACTGAACCTCTGAAACCCTAAGCCAGCCCCAAATTAATGTCTACTTTTATCAAAGTTACCTTGGTCGTGGTGTCTCTTCACAGCAATGGAAACCCTAAGTAAGACACCTCCTGTACTGTTTGGTCTCTGAAATCTGGTGAGTGCACACTTTTGGGTAACTTTTGGGTGACTGAACAGCCTCAAGCCCAGGATATCGCAGGATGTCTTGTTGACATTTGAGTAAGGCGACTCCTGACCCCGGGACATCCTTGGTTGTCAGTCGGCCATGTTGGGTGACTAAGAGCCTGGTGGCTGACCATTGCTTGTCTGTTTATTACTGTTTGTATTTGTTCCAGTGAGCTGAATCCCTGTCTGGACTCCCTTGAAATGGTAATTGTCGGGTCTTGTGTTTGTGTGTACAAGTTTTGTTGAGGATATGGGAATGGGACAGCTACCTCCTAACTAACTAGTCCTGTCTCCTAACTACCTCCCCATTAACTAGTGTTTCTCCCAAGCTACCTCTACACTAACTAGTCCTTTTCCCAGATAGCTCCTAACTAGTCCTTCTCCTAGATACCTCCTATCAAGTCCTGTCTCCCAGCTACCTCTTCACTAACTAGTCCTGTCTGCTAGCTACCTCCTCACTAACTAGTATGAAGTGGAAACTCAAAGGTTCTTTAAAACGATGGTGTTTTGTTGGGGCAAACACGTGAAGGAACATTTAGCTGAAGTGGACACAGGTGAAAGCCTAAGACAGATTGTAAAGGAACGTTTGGCTGAAGCAGACACAGGAGACAGGATGTTCTGCTAAAGCAAGCATGTGAAAGGGTACATGATGAAAGATTCTTTGCTAACGACACTCATGTATTGGTCTGCCTTACATTGCATAGTTTAGCAGCACTTGTCAGGACTTCATAGAGAAATACAGCAAAAAATAAATCATTTGGTGGTGTGCTGCAGTTTCTTGTTGCTTCTGCTGACTGGGACCGATTGGCAGAATAATATCAGCTGAGGCAGACGCAGATGCTGAGGCAAGACCCATGGTGGGCACGTGATGTTTGGAGGGAGTATAAAACAGATTTAATGGACCATGGTGGGCTGGGCTGGGCTTGCTTATAGAGCTAGCTGTTCAATGCATGTGGGTCTCTTGTCTTTGCTGATCTCTGCTTTGCTGAGAGAGACACAGCTGAGAACTCCAGGCATTCCTCCTGGTCGCTCCTGCTAACTTGAGCCAAGGCTTAGGCCTGGCTATCTCTGCTAGGTCAGGCCACTGATGTTGATCCGTGTTTGCTATCCTGACTCTACCAAACTGGACTGCTGGTGTATCGGAAGTGTTTGCAAGTGGATCGAGCTGCCACCGGCTGCTAACTTGGGAAACTGCCAATTTCCAGGCAACATAGGCAGGAGTTGCTTCAAAGAACCTTTCTAAACAGGTTCACTTTCCCCGTATCCTTTCTTTTCCATCACCTCTGGTGGATGGTTAAAGTGTTTAATAAAACACCAAAAATAGGTTTTGAAAGAATTAAACTAGTCCTGTCTCCCTACTAACTACCTCCCCACTAACTAGTCCTGTCTCCCAGCTCCCTCCTCACTAACTAGTGCTGTCTCCTAGCTCCCTCCTCACTAACTAGTCCAGTCTCCTAGCTCCCTCCTCTAACTAGTCCTGTCTCCTAGCTCCCTCCCCACTAACTAGTCCTGTCTCCTAGCTCCCTCCTCATTAACTAGTCCTGTCTCCTAGCTCACTCCTAACTAACTAATCCTGTCTCCTAGCTCTCTCCCCACTAACTAGTGCTGTCTCCTAGCTCCCTCCTCACTCACTAGTCCTGTCCCCAGCTCCTCCCCACTAACTAGTCCTGTCTCCCAGATACCTCCTCACTAACTAGTCCTGTCTCCCAGCTCACTCCAGGGCCTTGCTCAGTCTCTGTCCCTCTCATTGGCTCCATGAAATCTGATATTTAAGTCCCACTAAATCTCGTATCTTTGAGTTTCCTCTGTTCTGTTTGCTCAGGTTACTCCCTGCAGTCCTTTGATTCCATTTTGCAGGAGTAGGATATGCTGTCCTGTGGGTATGAATACTACTGAAGCGTCGTTTTATGCTGTTCAGCGTTGCTATGAAGCTGGCTCTGGAGTTGGATGATGGCCTTCCTCTCCCAACCTAAGCTTGCTTGTTTAGTTTCCTCACGTCTCTGTCCGAGGTCAACAGTCACCTGACTCTCGGCCAGAAAGAGAGAGCAAAACAGAACAGCCCAGGAAAAGACTCTATGTGCTTTAAGACAGCTCACAAGAGGACTGTCCCCAATAGAAATTCCTGTTGCTTGGGAGCACAGACAGAACTAAGAATTCCCGTCTCGGGCTTATGTGTCAGAAGAGACCTGGAGGGACCCCAGGCTACCTGGCATCAAAAGTTGTATCAGTTTGGTTCTGCTCTGTTTACCATTGAGGACTTGGTACCAGGATCCACATGGAAAATGTACTAAGTGCAGCTGCTTGACCATGAACACACAGACACACACATACACACACACATAGACATAGACAGATGCACACACACACACCTTCATACACACACATGCAGACACTGAGATACACACAAAATTCCTCATACACACACGTGCACAAACACACGGACACACACATATACAAACACATAGAACCTCATACACATACACAAACATACACACACACAAACATACACACATGCATCCTCACACACACATATGCAGACACAAAGAGATACACACACACACACTTGTACTTCAATGGCCCTGTCCCTTAGAGTGCACACACACCCTCATGGCTTGCTGTGGTTTATTGTTGTTGATCAGACATTGGACAGAACCTCCCAACAGGTGGACAGATGGAAGTCAAGCTTGAGTTTCTCCCTCCTCTTCTCAATCTCATCTCCCAGAGAACACTCTCCGAGGACAAGGCAGATAAAGCAGGCTGTGAAGAAGGCTGTGATGGGACAGGATGCAGGGGTTGAGGGCAGCAGTCAGCAGCCTGGAGTCTGATCACAAGTTGGGCTCTCCCTCACCGGGGCCTTGGGTACCTTCCTGCCCTCTCTGGGTCAAGAGCCTGCAGCAGAGCAGGACATGACCCTGACTCTGGAGCCTCCTGGGCAGGTCCTGCTGGGCTCACAGGACGATGCATGCGCAGTTCTTGTCCACTTGAGAATGGAGGGAAGGCAGGGCACAGCAGGCCTGCACTGCGGTCATGGCAGCCCTAAGGCAGGAGGATTATGATATCCAGGCCAGTCTGAGCTATACAGAAGAAACCCTCCAAAATATGAAAAGAGACAAAACCAAAAAGAGTTGATACACTCTACGAAAACTGTGATTCTCCTGGTGTGGCACATCAACCTCCGTCTGTAATAGAAAACACAATCATGTCAGGAGCCCACAATCTTCCTGGGAAGGGGATACAAATGAGACCTGAAGGTGAGCTCTGTGACAGGCCACCTGGGCCCCTTGGTCAGACTGCTGAGAAGGTGAACAGTAGGTCAAACAGGGGTCAGGCCCTTGAGGATAGATAGAGCTCGCCCCTGGAAGTTATGCCTCCCACCTGACACCTCTCATTCAGTGACAGATCCGTCAAATGAGAAAGTGGGCATAGCCAGAGGGATGGCACTGAAGGCCACTGCAGCCTGACCCGCCCTCGCCTGCCCCCAGTCACCACTCCCACACCATCAAACTTCCTTCCTGACCCGGGTTATGGTTCCAACATCCCTGAAGCCATGCTAACCTCCATCTGGAGGGCACTCACGGCATCACCGGTTCCCTAGCAACAGGAAGACCCCGCCCCAGGAGGGGAAAGGTCCAAGTGCAGGTCCCTCTGTGCCTCTGTGGCTGTGACACAGCCCCGCTGAGTCCCATTGGTCACGTGACAATGAGACAGGGAAGACAGCCTGCTTCATGGACCAGACAGTGGCTTCAGAATCCACAGGATACCAGCCCCACAACACTCATCTGAGTGTCCCTGAGCCAGTGGCTTCAGGTCTCCAAGTCTATGTATATGTGTGTCTATGTGTGGGTGATATGTGTGTGTGACTGGGTATAGGCAACCTGTGTGTGTGTGTGTGTGTGTGTGTGTGTGTGTGCGCGCACGCGCGCGCTCATGTCCATGTGTGTAACATCAGAGATGAAGGTCAGAGGATAACTTTGGGGATTTGGTTCTCTTCTTCTGCCAGAGGAGTTCCTGGGATCAAACCCAGGTCATTTGGGTTGGCAGCAAGTGCCTATACCCACTGAGCCATCCTGTGAGCCCATGAGATCTACGAACGGTGTTAAAATGGCCATGAAATAAGGAGAGCCGCTGGCCTCCACAGGAGCGAGGAGACCACATCTTTGTGAGAACATTCTCCAGATAGATGAAGAGAATGAGGGTGTTGGGAAGGGAAAGGATGGTGACATGTTCTCACCGGCACATCCCAGGAGCACACTGAGGAACGGTCCCTGTACTTAAAGCATGGGTACCGCAGCCAGGCGGCAGCCTCTCCTGCTAGTCGCCGCCAGCCCTCTGAGTTCGAACCTGCAACGTTTCCTGTTGGGTCTGCAGGATCCAGGATCACAGGCCTGCAGAGAAACATTAAGAGAGGGAATTGAGCAGCTGGCCAGTGCATCGGGTACCACTGCACAGGGGTGGGGGAGGAGTCAAACAGAGCATCCCTATCCAAAGTTTGGCCAGAGTCCCTGCCTAACAGTATACTGCAAGTCTGGAGGAATCCTTGGGTATGACCTGCAAGTCCTGGGTTCAAATCTTCTACCCTTTAGTAGCTGTGTCACCCTAGGGTGACATAGTACTCTATTATTTACAGGTAATTGGTCTACCGCTGGCCTTTGGTGCCTCACAGCACTTATGACGCTGTAACTGTTGGATGATCTCAGTTCCCACTCCATGTCCTCCCTTTGCTGCTTGGTCTGGACAATGTCAGAGCCTTGGTCTCCTCATCTGCAGACAGGAGAGCCTTCCCCACCCCCTAGCTCCCAGGGCATTAGGGCCTCATGTCAATCAGATGACAGAAGGTCAGAACTCAGTACAGGAGATGCTTCATTGTCACAGATCTCCCATCTCCCCCTTTCTACATAAGTGCAGCCTGACACTCCACAGGGACCTGATCTACGTAGGGACAGACTACCTGACTCCTGTGAGCTGTCTGTGCAGGTAGCTGGAGACCTCCTGGTGTTCAAAGTCATAGTACATTGTCCAGTAGATTCGAAGCTGCTTGTACTTGGTGACCAGTTCTAAGACAGTTCTGAAGCCCTGGGCTGTGTCAAAATCAACAGAACCATTCCCGCGCTCCCAGGCATGGACTGTGAGCAGCTCCAGGGCGTACTGTGGGGGCAGCGGCTTCCCCAGCTTCTCCTGACACTGAGAAGAGAAAGGCAAAGAGTAAAGTGGGAATCTCAATTGTTGTGTGGAGGCCACTGCTCACAGGCTCAATTCAGCTGCCTCACGATGATGTCATTACGGGTTTATTGTCACACAGCCACGCCCAGTCTTTTTGATTCACACTCTGGCTCCTCCTGTGCTATAGTCAAGAGCTGATTAGTTCCGATGGACCCTGTGTGCTCCCCAAAGACAGCATTCACTAGCAGGCACAGGAGGAATCAAGACACCATGAGTGACAGCTAGGAGTGAGGGTGGGGGAGGGACATAAGGAGTCCTCACTATGGAAGTTTCTCATAGTCTCTGAAGTAACATGGAAAGGGCCAGGGAGATGGCTCAGGGGTGAAGTGTCTCCCTCCCTGTGCAGGGCTGAGAACTAGAAGTCAGACCCCAGCATCTCCATGAGTGTCAGGCTCTTGAGGATGCTGATCCATAATCCTAGCTCAAAGTGCTGGAGGTGGGGCTTCCAGGGGCTCAGGACTCTACAGACCTGCTGATCCAGCACACTGAGTGTCATGTGTGAGACCCTGACTGATTACACAAGGTGGGGCATGACTGAGGACCCGCCCTCACGCTCTGACCTCAAATGCTAAAGGTACACATGCACACACATACACAACACGTGCTCCCATGAACAGGTATAAACACACATGCATAAAAACACTCAGACTCAGAAGAAATCACGCATTTAAAGACACAGCTTGACAAGTCAGGAAAATCAAAGTATAAAAGGCGACATGAAGGGTTTGGCCAAGATGGAAGACAAATCCAAAGGCACAAATGAAGCAGCAGCCATAGACAGTGAATTAGACTCGGCTGGAGAGTGAGTTAGCTGACAGGAAAGTGGACTACAAGAAATCACCTAGAACAACCATGGCAAGTCCTCCCTTCTCTCAACTACCCCTCCCCACTCCTTGCCCCTCCTACAGCATCCCCTCCCCCCACCTCTACTCACCTCTGCTTCTTCTCTCTCACCCCCTCTGCTCTGATTCCCTTCCCCCCACTTTTCTTTTACATTGTTTTTTTTCTCGGTGTTCTTTTATTCTTTTCATCAACCTGAGGCAGACAGAAACATCTGGAGAAGATAGATCCACAACTGAGAAAATGCCTCCATCAGACTAGCCTGAAGTAGAACATTTTCTTGTATCAGTGGTTAATGTGGGAGGGCCCAGCTCATTGTGGGTATTGCCACACTTGGGCAGGTGGTCCTGAGTTGTTTTTTTAAAAGCAGACTTAACAGCCAAAGGTATCAGTCAGCAGGCAGTTCCTCCCTGGCCTCTGCTTCCCTCAGTGACGAGTGGGATGCAGGGATGAGAGCCAGACAATCCCTTTCCTCCCCAGTTTACTCTCCAGCCTCATCTTTACCACAGCAGTCAGAGCAAACGAGCACAGAAACCGGTCCTAGGGAGGGGGCACTGCTGTGACTGACCCGCCATGTTGCTCCTTGGGAGGACTGAGGAAGGAGGATGGAACTTTGGGTTGGAAAACTGTTGAGAGCTGAGAGCCTACCAGGCTGTTTGTGGGAACCTGGAAGACAGGGGAGCTGAGAGGCAGGCAGAGGACGGAGGCTGGAGTGAAGTTTCAGAGGAAAGCAAGGACCCCATCTGGGCTGCTTGTGTGCTGTGTTTGCATGAAAAATCGGGGGTTTCTCATCAGCTGGGGCTGAGATTTAGCTCTGATGAAGAAGAGACATGCACCATGGGGGCTGAGCCATCTGAAAAGAGTTTCCTTATGGTCAGCAAGTGGTAGCTGTGGTGCCAAAGCTGCATCTCCAGCTTGCAGCTCACACCTGGAACTGCAGACAGGTCTCCCAGGTGGTAAGGCTTTGCTTACATGAAACCTGCAGGTTTGGAGGGGTCATGGAGAGCAGCTGAGGCCTGGCACTGGGAGAGGCCAGGAGAAGCCATTGGTGAAAGTGCAGTCTCCATGGCAGTGGAGACCCTGAGAGACTGGAGTTGCCCTGAGTGGGGGACGACTGCCAGCAACAGAGCAATGTGAGAACAGAGCTGACCTGAGCCTGAGACCAGCTGTGTGTGCTGTGGATGGCAGAGCCTGAGAAGCTCAGAGAACTGTGAGTCCCAGATATCAGATACTGAGTCTTTTTGCTCTGTTGGGGTTTGGTTGTATTTTAAGCTGCTTGTGACAGTGACCTGGTTTTCTCCTCTTACAGTAAGAAAATATTTAATTTATGTTTTTAATATTATATGAGCCTACCGTTGAGAGACTAGTCTTTTTACGTTTCGATTTTCTTTAGGTTTGGTTTTTAATTTGAGGACTTTAAAGCTGCAATGTGTTTTATGACGTAATACTGACCTGAGATCTTAGGGACAAGCAAGAAAGGAAAGGTTATGGTTCAATCGTGGTTTGTGTGTGTGCATGTTGTAAAGGGGGTCAATTGTGCTGGTTAGTTTTGTTAGCTTCGTCTGGTTGGAGTCAATCTTGATCACTAAAATGCCTCCATCTGACTGGCAACGGGGAGTTTGTGGGGGCATGTTACTAATTGCTGTTTGATGTGGGTGGGAATAGACCACTGTGGTTGGGGCCATGAATGGAATGTGGCCTTGGGCTGTATAGAAATGCACACTGAGAGAGCCCTGGACAGCAAACAGTGAGCAGAATTCCTCCATGGTCTCTGCTTCAGGGTTCCTCTGAATCCCTCAATGAGGGAGTGTGACCGGGATGTATAACCAAGTAAGACCTTCTCTTACTAAGCGATTTGGGAAGAAACATGGTCATGTGATAAAGCTACGGCCTCAACAGAAAGCAAACTAGAATATACATCTTCTGTGGCCCGTGTATACACTTTGTCCAGATGAAGCCCACCCTCAGTGACTAGGTCAGATGCCTTACCAGTTGGTACCAGTGCTTGACCAGGCGGATGAGACTCTTCACCTTGGTTGGGCGCTGCTTCAGGAAGTTCCGCTGGAGCTCAGTGAAGCAGGTAGAGAACTCGCCCTCCTTCTGCAGGTAGAGGCACTTCTTGATGAGATTGGCGTAGATTTCGGGATCAGGCTTGCTGTATATGGTAACATGACCTGTAAAGGAGGTTTCATTCATTTTAACAACTCAGCCCTTCTATGAGGTTCTTCAGTCTCTCTGAGGTGACAAGGTCAGTGGCTATAGGGTTCGGTGAACAGGCAGAGTTTTTCCACAGCAGGCGTCAGTCCACATGTACCCATCTGTCCCACCACTCCTCAGGACTGCACACATGCTGGGCATTACAAAGTCTGTGCCACCAACAGGTCCTCGTCCAGAGCCTTCCTCACAGGCCTGGAGACAGTGGTGGGAGGAACCAGCACACTGTGGTCACACACAAGGGAACTACACGGTCATCGGGTAATGGCCAACCACGCCTGGTTCCAGTATCTTCTGCATGGTTCTTGTCAACTGTGTGCAAGCCTGCTTGTGTCAAAGTTTACTGTGGACTGGTCTGCTGCATTCATGTATCATGTCTCATGCTGACAGAGTCTCTGCCCTATTTTGTGTATGGATTGCAAGTATTTTTGAGGAGGTATTCGCATATGTTCAGAGACAAGAGAGGACATAAGGTGTCTTACTTTATAGTTTGTCAGCTTGTTTCTTTGCAGCAGGGTCTGTCTGTAAACATGGAGCTCGGCTGGCATCCAGCAGTCTTACAGATTCTCCTCTTTCCTCTCAGAGTACCAGAGATACAGGTCAATGTGTGGCACTTCCTAAGCTTAGGTGGGCGTTGGGGATTTGAACTCAGGTCCTCATGCTTGTGCAGCAATCACCCTTATCCACTGCACTGTCTCCCCAGCCACTGTGTGTTTTTTAGTGGATGATTTTCTGTAGTGTGTTGTCAGGAGCCATGCTAGGACAAGCTAATAACTAGCAGGTGATCTCCCTGAAATGGTCTGCTTTGGATTACAATATAATCTGTGACAGATACGCTCTTATTAGGCAAGGCTGGAAGAGAATTCATTTTTAGGAGAAATTCCTGCTATTAATATGCTTTTCCTGTTATTATTAAACATATATAACAATCACTATGTATTAGCCCACCCCTTTGGAGCAGATCTCTGCGGATCTACGAAGATGTACTGTCTTGTAGTGATGCTATATAGACAAATAGATGATTTATTAAGTCTTAGTGATGATCCTATAAGAATTCCTAATAATTATTATCAGTGATTATTAAGTTCTTTTATAGTGGGACTGCTATTAGGTCCTTTTCTGATAGTCAAAACTGCCATAAGAGCTCGGCCAATCTCACAAGTGTCATCTGTTAATTGCTCTTAGATAGTAACCAGACTTTCTCCTACTCAGAGCACATTCCAAGAGGTTGTAAAACAATTAACCAAAAGTCATCAAAAGGGAACTAACAATTTATTATAGGTGCTAGGACAGAAGATAAAATATCAACTGGGTTAAACTTTACAAAACTTCACTAATAATTTAGTTATGGTTTTCAATTTTCAGTGAACCTGTGGGGCTGTGACAGGTGATGGATGTTTATCCAGATAATTACTCCTAATGGATATGCATGTAAACATTGTCTGTTGTAAAATTCTATTTCAATTTATGACTTGATTTTTTGTGTGTGAACTTCTGATAAACTTTGAAACATGTGATCATGTATTCTGAAAGATGTTTAAGTGCTGAGGACAAAGAGAAGATTCAGAACTGAGCTGAGAAGAAATGAACTGTGAGAGGGAACTGAGCTGAGTAGAAGTTTTTATTCAGAACACTTTTTAGACAGAACTGAACTCAAGAAGAACTTAGAAGTATAGGCATAGCTTTGGGAGAAAAGGCATTGGGAATAAGAGCATTGTAGTAACTTCAGAGCAGGAGGAAGCAAGGTTAGAAGGAGAATGAGGAGTAGAATAACGTAGAAACAACAGGTTACATAAAAACTAAGAGAGCAGTGTGCAGAATGCAGAGGGAAAGAGGGCAAGAAGCTTCAGAGAGCAGAAGGAGCAGGCAGGCTTCTCCTTTCCATGGGATAGTGTTGGGAGTGACCTTGTTTATACATTAATGGCCTAAATCAACCATAGGCCTAAGTCAGCCATTCGTGCCTACTGACACAAAGTCTTGGTCTCTGTGGGAAAGCACTAACCCTAGAACAGATAGCTATAGATCTGGTAGACAGGTAGTCCTGGTGGGAAAGTACCACCCTAGATAAGAACAAATGAATAATAGATCTTATGGACAGGTAGCTTTGGTGGGAAAGAGCTAGCTTAGATAAGAACAAATGAATAACAGATCTTATGGACAGGTACATGGTGACCTGTTCTGCCCTGCTTCTTCTATGATCTCTTCACCCAGCCAATATCCTGTTCTGAAGTACATCTGTACTCCCCCTAAGATCACCTACACTCCCCCAAAACAAAGAAGACCCTACGTCATCCCCCTCCCCATATGCTGCTTCTATGTGTATATAACCCCTGTGTGGAAAAACTAAAATTTGACAGCTTGATCAGACTTCCAAACAGGCTGTCATTCTTTGTGTGCCCTTGTCCCCATTCTCTCTTTCAGGTGGTCCCCTGATCCCAAGTTCACTGCCCTGAAGACTGGGGCAGGACAGAACAGGTCCTTTTTTAATAACAAGGCAGACTTAGTCTTATTCAAAGGAACAAAGCTTCCTTTGACTTGGGTTTAATTCATTTATCATTAAAAGGATAGACGCTTTTTCTTTCTCTATGCAATAAAGATTGGAGTATATTTTTCATCCGGAATGTGTGAGTTCTTTCTGCACCAGTGCTTGGTCTTTTGCTCCATATGCATATGTAAGTGTGGATGTGTGTGTGTGTGTGTGTGTGTGTGTGTGTACATAATTGTGAGAATGTATACATATGTATGTGTAAGCATGTAATTGTGAGAATGCATGCAAGCTGGGCCCAACTGGTTTGAATGGAAATGCATACATACACATGCATGAATCTGTATACGGACTTATGTGAGTTTATGCATTTTGCTTATGTAAAAGCTTTTCCTTCTGTGACTCTTATTCTCTTCTCCGGGATCAATAGAAGTTTATTGCTCCAAACTTCCCCCTAGGCCAAAAAGCAAGAGGCATCTGGACAAGAGGGAAAAGGCTCTAGGAATTAATTCTTTACTTAATCTCCTGCTGTTTTAGGATGAAGAGCTAAGTGCCAGAGACTGCAGTTTCTGGCCTCAGGGGAACACAGAAGGCAGGTCAGCTACTAAGTAGCATACTAACTTAGACTTCGATAAGTAAACTTAATATCATGTGGTTTTGTTTGTCCAGGTCCTGACAGGAACAAGATGTGGTAGTGTCCGTGTCTGTGTGTGTGTGTGTGTGTGTGTGTATCTTTCCTGTGCACTTGTAGAGCAGATGGGCAGCAGGCTATGGAATAGATGTGTGTATATGTGTGTAGGTGTGTGTGCACATTTGAATAGTCTAGGCAGGCTGTGCCTTAAGTGTGTGCAGGTGTGTGGCCATGGTTACAGCAGGCCACACCATCAGGCTTGATGTCAGCACAGAGCAAAGTCATTCAATGATAGAGCTCGGAAAAGCCCAGTCACTCAGTGACCAGGGAGGTCTTCCCCTCATGGGCTTATTTCTGTTTCAGGGTCTATAATACAATACGGTTCATGGCCTGTGTCATCTTGTGTAGGGCTATGGCTGTGGTCCTCTCTTTGGCTGTTGTCCACACCACCATTCCCAAGGCAGTCCTTCTGTGATGGAGATGTCTCCTCATTGGTAAGCTGTTGAGGCTGAGGAAGTCCATGACCCAGATAGACTTCTGGGGGAGCCCCCTCCTGGCTCATTTCTGGTTCACTCCCCTCTCAGCCCCCTCCACTGAGCAGGGTTCTAAGCCTCTTGCAGCTTCCCACAGCAGGCTGCCCTGGTCCTGCACCCAGGCTGGCCCTCTCAGTCCCTGCTGCCTGAGACTCTGGCCTGTTTCCAAGGCTCTCCTACAGGGCTAGTAGCCTTGTCTTTAACTTAATAGCAGCAGTTCACTCAGTGGCCATCAGGGGGTGCTGTGTTCCCCAAATATAAAACCTCAAGTATTCCCCCAACCTTCCTAAACCCACACTGGGCTTTCTGGGTGTTAGTAGTTGTCTTGGGTAGAATTGGGCAATTTGAAATTTTGAAGAGAAACTGTGTGTCAGGCCTGGTATAAGATTGTGACAGTATATTTGATCACACTGTGAACCCAGAGCTTTTACTGGAAAAAACATGGTTTTAGTTGTGGTGTGGCTCAGCCTTTGCACATGCCTTTAATTGAGGCGCTTTCTGCTTGAATATTGTAAGCAGGATTAAATAAAGTTAATCACAGGTCAAGAGGCAGAGCAAGCACCAGTTGACCAGAAGTGAACTTTATTAAGAGAAAAAAAGAGAGAGAGAGAGAGAGAGAGGGAGTCAGGAGGAAGGATACAGAGACCCACAGGAAGTAGAAGGAAGGGGCATTCGGTTTGAAAGAGGGTTTTTGAGATGGCATGAGAGAGGACATGCATTCTGGAACATTCTGGCTGAGGAGGAGGGTCAGCTGGGTGCTCTCTCTGCCTCCCTGAGCTGGCAGGCTTTCACCACAGCATCTGGCTTGCAAGTCTTCATTAGTAAAATTGAATAATTGAAATTTTTTTCAAAAGACAAGATGAAATCTTTTAATGTGTAATGATATAACATGTCTGTGCATGTGGGTGGTTGGGACAGTGGTGGCTGCATCTGCAGATTTATTAAGGGGACAGAACTCCACTGAGAAGATCTACATCCTGCACAAACCCTCCTCAGACACCCCAGGTCTCTGCCCAGCTCTGAGGTTCCCAGTCTTTGGGAGAAGACTCATGAGTTTGTTATTTTCAGTGACGTCTACACGGTCTTATGTTTAGGAAGACACAAGGCACAGCCAGCCATGAATAGGCCTGGTATGTTAGGGGAGCCCCTAACTGAGGCAGCTCACTACTCGATGTCCTTCTGGGATGGAGTCTCTCTCCCCACTATCAAGTTTCCAAATTCCCTCCTCCCCAGCTCAGCTTTAAAGAGATACTCTCTTTAGGTGAATTTCTCAAATGATAAGAATTTTCAGTTCGGGGGTGGAAGGTGTGGGCTGGGGAGACGGCTCAGTCAGTAATGTGCTTGGCTCACAAGCTTGAGGACCCATCTAGAAATCCCAGGAGTCAGGGAAAAGGCTGGTGTTGGTAGGGTAGGATTGTAATCCCAGAGTTGAGAAAGGGGAGGGAAACTCGAGGGTCCCTGGGGCTCTGCCCAGCCAGTCAAGCTCAGGTGTGAATTCTGAATTTTGAGACAAGGTCTCAAAAAGATGGATGACTCTTGAGATGTGTTAGCCATGGCTCAGGATCACACCCACACACAAGAGAACACCTATGAATCACACATGCGAATGTGCGGCTCACTTGGGCACATACCTACACATACACACACACCTACACATACACACATACACACACCTCCCCACACACAGACACATACACACACATACACACACATACACACATATATACACATGTACACACACATATACACATAGACACACATACACAGATTCAGACACACATACACACACATACATGCAGACACACACACATATACACAAATATACACATACATACATATAGACACATACACACATATACACACACATACACACATAGACACACACAGATTCAGACACATATATATATATATATATATATATATATATATATACATACAGGCAGACACACACACATATACACAAATATACACATGCATACATACACACACACACACAAGAGAACACCTACGAAACACACACATGCACACATATATACACATATGCATACAAACATGCACACACACATACATACAGAGACACACATACACATATACACAAACATACACATGCATACACACGCATATACACCCACACACAAGAGAAAACCTACGAAACACACATGTGCACACACACACACACAGAGGTGGAATTAAAAGGGAGGATGAAGGCATGCAGAAGGGTGAGCCGAGCTCTCTGGCAGGCTGACTTACCCAGGACATCAAAGGCTGGAAGCACATCAAACTCCACCTCTTGATGAAGGTGGGGGGCGCTCAACTTGAAGCTCAGAGACCGAGCATTGGGCCACCATGAACTCTGGACCTCAAACTTGACTCTAAAATGTCTCTCACGCTGAACCTCATACAACTGTTTCTTAATTTCCTTGATGAACTCTCCCCGTCGCTTTAACTGATCCTCAAAGCTGGTGAGATTGTTAAGGAACACCACCAGGTCAGCGTCTGACTTTCCCTTGATCGTGGTGCCTTTGCCTGAGGATCCACCCTGAAAGACAAGGATGAGAATGACAAGGGACAGGGAGAGCCATGATGGGCAGTCCAGATGCTGAAGAGCCTAGGAGTCCTACACTGAGGGTGACGGATGGATGGATAGAGCAAGCTGACACATGTGCAGTGGAATACTAGTCAGCCCTGAAGAGTGACATCAGGATCTATGTAGGAAAATAGAGGGTGCTGGATCTCCTCATGGTACAGAAGGTAAACCAGACTATGAAGGACAAACATCCATGTTTATCTGTGGAGTCTATATCTGTGTGTGTGTGGGGGGGGGACCGTATATGGGAGTGGAGGAGGGGTCTAAAGCAAATGAGCAAGGAAGAGCAGTAGTGGTTGGAAGGAGACTGACTAAATTAATACAGATATATATGAAAACATAGCCAGGGTCCCATTGTTGCCATTGTTAGTTGGGAGGAAATATACTCAAATGACATCATTTTCTTCTAAGAAAATGGCCTTGTGTGATATATATATATATATATATATATATATATATATATATATATAATTTATATAGCATATAAAATGACAGAGAAACTGGAAAATTAATATAGGTGATCCAAATCCGTAAAACAGTTATTTTAAAAAGAATTCCCACTGAGAAGAGCCTCCCTAAATCAAATGCTGAGACTCGTCACTAACACACGTGAGCACCAGCTACTGTTGAGAGGAGGCATTACAAATTGTCACACCTGCGGATGGAGAGGTGGGTCAGTCGTTAAACGTGCCTGCTGTTCCTGTGATGACCTCAGTTGAGTTCCCAGCACCCAAGTAGGCCAGCTCACGGCCACCTATGTAACCTCAGCCCTAAGGGATCAGACACCCCCTCTTTGATCTTAAGAGAACCTGCACTACTGCATACAGGGCCCCCACTCACAACTAAACATATAAAAATACAATCAACTAAAACAAGACAAAACTTGATTTCTGCGGCCTTCACAGAGCCTGAGAGTTAGGTACCATCACCATGAAATGTGATTTGACAGACGCAGAACTGAGCCCAGAGAGGGTCCATCAATCCAGTCACACAGCAGGAGGGTCCTGTTCTGTCCTCTGTGTCACATTTGACTTAGTCTATGTGTCCTTGCCATCCCGGGGCGTGGACTGAGAACACTGGGCACGGAGAAGGTAGTTAAGTTACCCTATGTCACACAGCAGTGCACAGGTTGGATTCCCTCCCCCGCCCCCCGTCCCAGATTCTATTCCTCACCCACCAATCTCCTCGAGTAATGCTCTGCCGATCTGGGCCTCAGTTTCCCTGACTCTGAAATGGGCATGGCCTGGGAGCTGGGAACATAAACTGTAGCTGAGACTCCTTCTCCAATACAGATATGGGACCCGGGGGGAAGAACCCACCGCCCAGCTGTGATCAGAGTTGAGGCAGAGGGATCAGAGATGCAGCCTGGCTTCTGAGAGTCCTCCCCTACCCCATCTTGGTCAGCTCAGGCTGAGGAGAGCTCACCTTTACCACCTTGGAGACCCTCACTGGGTGGGCAGCACCTCGGAAGCATCTCTCCTTCAGGAAATCACACACGATATTGATGGCTAATTTGACATCAGCACCAAAGCTGCTGTCCGGAAGGAGGTAATCCTCTATGAACTTGTCCAGCTCCGAGGCTGAAATACTGTTGAGTCCGTGCCCCATGATAGGTCTCGGGCTTTTACCTTTGCAACTTGCTGGATTTGGGTCTGCCAGCCAGGCTGAACCAGGAACAGTTTTTTCAGTTTCGATTTCCCAGGAAAGGCTGGGCTATGCAAATCAGCCAGGTCCGGGCAGCCAATGACTTCAGAGCTTCTGACTAGGTACCTCCAAGTCAGAGCTTTCTTAGGACTCTGGGAAGAATGCATAGGGAAACTGATCTGGTTTTCTTAGAATTTCTTCTGGAAAAAGCTGTTACACAGCATGTTTTAAGAACAACCCGTACACGTAGAAGCCCTCTTCTACAGAGTCAGGAAACTGCAGAAGGTGGCTGGTGGCTTCTGAGCTCAGCTTCCAGCTCCTGTTTTAGGCGGAACTGGGTGTCACTTTCTTTTTAAGAACAGCACCCAACAGGTTCTGTTTTTTCCTTTACAGCTGGAGTTGCAGAAAATTCTAGGATTATAGAAAATTCTTACAGAAAGCCCAGCCTTCCCAGAAGCCCCCTCTCCTACTCAAGTCCTACATTTTCCCCTGTGGTGCTGGGGGGCGGGGTAAGGACAGGGACTAACTCAGAGCATTCCCACAGTCAAAGGCACAGGCTGTACCACTGAGCTCCCTTCAGCACTGGATATTACAGTGAGCTGTCTTTCAGGGCCACAGAAAGATTGACAGCCAGCCTTTGGGTGGCACAGGTCCCAGATGCACACTCATGGGGCCACCACCCAAGGCCGCATCAAAACAGTTTGATGCCCTCCAAGCCCCTGCCTCTGTCTCCTCCTCTCTTGTTTAGCGTTTTCCACCTCGTGGTTGTTGTGGTCTTGCTTTGAGGCCAGGGCTGGACTTGAACTCATGATTCCTCCAGGTTGGTCCCCTCAGTGCTGGTGTTACCGGGTGGCCACTGTGCCTAGCTCTCCCTATGTTTCTACCTGGCTTAACAATGTCTTCTGCAATATGTATTAAATTATGCTTAAGGCAAAACGTCCCCATGAGGGCTCAGATAGCTGAGAGGGACAGTGCTATGCTAAACTGTCATCATTCATCAAGAATATATGTTTACTGTGCATGTGCTTCTGTAAATATACAGATAAAGACTCATAAGAGGGCGAGGAATTTGTTCCTTAGAAAATCAACACCATGAGGCCGGAGAGACGGCCTCAAGAGCAGTGGAGACACTGCACACATACGGTACACAGATGTATCCTTAGGAACACACACATAGGTTAGTAAAAAAAACAAAACAAAACAAAACAAAAAAAAAAACAAAAAAACTACAAGGTGTGCTAGTGCATACCTTTAATCCCAGCACTCAAGAGGCAGAAGCTCATGGATCTTTGTGATTGGAGGCTAGCCTGATCTTTACAGCAACTTTTAGGCTAGCCAGTAGTGTATAGTTAGACTTTATCTCAAGTGGAGAGGCCTGGAGAGATGGCTCAGTGTTTAGAAGCTGTGGATGTGCATCCTGGGAAATCCTGTTCAATTCCCGAACTGACATGGCAGCTCACTCTCATGCGCACACGCACACACGCACAAACACATACACACATACACACACACGTATATATACATATAACACACACACACACATATATATATATATGCACATGCACACAGGCACAGGCACACAAGCACACACACACATACACACACCACACAAACGCGCACATATGTGCAAACACACACATTCAAGCCTGTCTATGCATATACACACACAAATACACAAACAGGTGTACACTCACACATGCACATGCACACGCACACTTGCACATGTGCACACGTGCATACACGCACACACACATGCGTGCATGCACAGGCACACACACACAAGCACACACATACACACATATTCGAGCCTGCTTATGCACACACACACACAAATCCACACACAGGTGTACACTCACACGTGCACCCATGGACGTTGACCAGGATTTACTGTGATGCAGAGAGAAGGGCCGGCCTTTTGCAGGAGCAGAATTGTCCTTATGCAGATTCATGAAGGAAGCAATTGCGGGTAGAGACTGGTCACCAGACACAGGAGCTCCAGGTGATTAGGGTAGAGATGGGACCTTTGGGACCTAGTCCTGCTATCCCAAGCTGGTGACTTTTGGTGGGGTGCTTACCCGTTGGCCTCCCTGATCCTAACTGCACACTGAGACCAGCACCTTGTCTCCTCCTGCAGGGAGTCACTCAGACTGTCTGGGGCTTCTAGGTCATTAACCCTTCACATACAGGGAAACAAGAAAGAAAAGCAGCATTGGGGGTGGCCCTGGCAGTCCAGCAGGCAGAGGCTGATGCAGGAGGATGGATAATGGAGGCTGGTCTATCCTGGGCTAGACTACAGCTGGATTCACTCCAGAGTGTGAGAAAAGAATCCTACAACAGATGAGGAAATAAACGGAAAAAAAATGATCCCACCAAGGGCTAGGGCTGAGAACACACTTTGGGCTGTAACACAGTTTTTCCCTTAAAGGAACAGGAGCGGGAAGTTCTGCTGACTATGGTTGTGTTAGCCCAGGTCAGAGGTCAGCCCTCGGCACAGTGTCAGCTTCTTTAGATTTCTTTTGGTCAGACAGGTGCAGTGTCACAGACCTTTGACCCCAGCACCTGGGAGGCAGAGGAAGTTGGACCTGTGTGTGTGTGTGTGTGTGTGTGTGTGTGTGTGTGTGTGTGTTTTAGGTTAGCCTGGTCTACAGAGTGAGATCCATGTTAGTCAGAGTTCAGTGGTGAGACTCTGTCTTGAAAAATAAACAACAACAAATTGTTGTCGGTTTTTGTGAGCCACCAGATAGATTCTGGGACCTGAGCCCAGGTCTTCTTCGAGAGCATCCCGTGCCTTAACCTCCTCTGTGCCATCTCCCAGCCCCCAGGTTCAATCAGTCTTCGTGGCCTCATTGGGATCCTTCTTGGTGAATCCTGAGGGAACTGGGATGTGAAGGCCCCTCCCACAAGTGCCAAGATGGGAGCACAAGAGGCCAGCTGAAGGTCCTGAGCAGAGCTGAGTGAGAGTGAAGCTAATTGTGCTTTAAATACTCTATTCCATTTATTTCATGTGTGTGAGCACGTGACGTCAGAGGCCAACCTGTAGGAGTCGGCTCTCTTTCCTTCCACCACGTGGGTCCCAGGGACCAAACTCAGGCCACCAGGCTTGGTGACAAACACCTGCTGCCTCTGAGCTATCTCAGTGACCTTTGTTGTTGTTGTTTTAGGACATGGTCTCATAGTCTCATAGGCTAGGCTAGCCTTCAACTTACAGCAATCCTCCTGCCTCCGTGCCCTGAGTGCTGGGATTATAGTATGTCCCTACAGCCGGCTCATCTATACTTTTCCATGCCCACTGTGAGTCTTAACGAGTGTCACTAAGTCCAGTGAGGTCAATGCCCCTGCCCACCCTGACTGAGCCTGGGAGAGCCCAGATCACAAGGTTTAAGACCCCGAGTCACCCTCTTGGCCACATGGCCATCCGATGCTGGGGATACACTATTCCCATGAGCCCCTTGACCCAGCCCCCTCTCTGTCAGCTCTGTCTGACCTCATAGGGCCCTGACTCAGCTCTGCCTCCAACACCCACTCAGAGTAATAATAATAATAGTAATAATAATAATAATAATAATAAAAACATGGCTTGCTGGAGATTGGGAGTTCCGTGGACTAGAGACACTCACCCCTTCCTCCTGGCTTGTGCCTGCCTCTCCTGCTTTCTCCCAGCCTCCTGTAGGGGGCGCTCTCCCCAGCTCAGGAGCATCACCTTGGATGGATGCTGTCCACCAGAGCCCAAGTATAAGGTAGACATGTGGGATGACGTTTCTGAATCCCGTGCCATGGGTCAGGGGTCTTCGTGGATGACGTAACTGCAATGCCCCGGGTATGTTCCAAAATGTTAATGTCAGAGTATGTTCCAAAATGTTAATGTCAGAGAATGAGCACCTTGCCAACGTGAGGGAAAGATGTAAGTGTGTGGGGACAGCGATTCCTATCGCATCACCCCATGCAGTCTCTGTCATAACCAAGAGAAAAGAACCATTAGCCTGTTCAGGAGTCCCCATATTCATGAAAATGCTCAGCCTGGTAGGCGTGTCTTATGCTGGGATCAGGGGATCAGCCTTTTTCAGGCTGGGCCTCCCTGGGTTGTGTGGCAGCGGCTGCATGGAACACTGTACAGAGAAGGGTTCTTAATCCTTTGGCAGGCTCCTCCGCGGGTGCTGGATTGATTAGTGATGTCTGCTGCAAGTACCAGGAAGGGGAAGGGGTGCCTCAGAGGGCGGGCTTGCTTTGGCTCACATTTACCCCTGTGGCCCCCTGGTGGCAAGTAGCTGAACTTCAGTAAATGGGTTGACCTGAAGGCAGCTGACTTCAGTCACTGCGGAGGTGGGAATTGGCCAACAAAGGGGCCCGCTGCTCCCCAGGGGGACAGTGAGTCTTTAGGAAGGTGAGGGGACTACAGGCAGTTTGAAAAGAAACTCTCAGGATGTCCAGGTGATTCCAGGAACTAGAGAAATTGTCTTGAAAGAATTGGCCTTGGGAGGAACTGACCAGCTCAGCAGGAAGGGGCTGGCCTTTCCAATTAGTTGTTCGTGTCTTCCAGGGACTCAATTCAGGGGGGTTAAAAATCCTTTTGAAGAGCCAAGGATGGTCATGTATACTTGCAACAAGTCCCAGCCTTCTAGAGGTGGAGATGGGGTTTGGGGGGATCAGGAGTTCAAAGTCAGCCTAGGCTACATATGCAGTTAGTTCAAGGCCATCTGGAGCATATGAGACTTGTGGAGAGGAGTGGGGGACGGGGGTTCTAGATCTATTTATCTGGCTTTCAGGTCGCTGAGAATGTAGAATATGGATCTATCAGTGAAGGCTTCTTCTGAGCTGGGAGGTACTAAAACCCAGGGAAGGTATCATTAGATACCTCATCAGATGCTCTGTGTTTCCCAGTTGCCATCACCGTGGTAAGCACTGGGCTGGAAGTCTAAGGCCCAGCTCCTTCTCACTCTGAGCTGCCTTGGGTCTTTATTTCCTCATCTGTTTCATGAATTGGACAGGATAAATTGGATTGGACAGGCCCCTACTAAAGTCTAGGT